CGCCCCAAGACGGTAGAGCCTGCGTTGAATGTGAGCTGTGCAGCAGTCAGCGAACGCGAGCTATCAATGTAGGACGCATGCGCCTCCAGCCAAGATGGAGTCATGGTTTGATGATAGATCACTTTTTGCTGCAAAGAAGGAACATTGACGCGTTAACTTAGAAGTTACTGAGCAGCTTATGCAAATTCAAAAAATAAGCAATGAATTATTAATGTAGATGTTGCATAAATTGGTCTTTCAACCTCGTTAATCGTTTAGGTAAGCTTGGAACTGGACCAGTTACATTGAGTAGAAGCTTACTGGTAGGAGTTTTGGGGAAAATGTTATAAAAAGAGGCACACAAGGTTTTTGTCTTCATTTATTTTTCGTTTCGCCTTTCTTTACCGTGTTAGTTTCCAACAAGAACGAATTTAACTCAGGTTCGCTCCAACGAAGGGCGGCCAACTAACAATGTAAACTCAGTTAATTAAACCAAACTGTCATTTTGTGCCGTGGCACTCGAAAGATATCAGTCCATAATGGCAAAGGTTGTCTTTCTAAAATTAGCCTCCATTTTGTGAACTCGACTCGGCTTCCCTCGCTGGTCTTTGAGAGTTCACGTGACTTACTTGTGACATGCGGGGGTCTGTTCAACACGCTGATTGGAAACAACATGTACGAGTGACCTAAGAAAAGGGGAAAATTAAATGTACAATTATTAGAAACTGAAAWCTCTGAGTCTATATTCGCCCAGCCAAGAAAAATAATTATTCTAAGGGGTGATAACCCTCAGTTTTTAGAGATATTGATAAAGTATGCTGAAAATTCAAGACATCAAAAACAGCTTGGAAATTCATAACGAAAGAACCCATCACGAATGTCGAATAAACCGGAATATGTGAAAACTCAACGGAACCAGTAGTTCCAAACAAACCGAAAAATTACAACAGCTCTGCTAAACTACTTTTTCTAAATAAAAAATAAGGTTATGTTATTTCTTTTAAAAAGGTAAATTAATTATTTACTTCCAGACAATGGAAAATACTTCAAATGTCGAATACTTGTGAAATAAAAATCTGGCGGCTGGTCTGATGCGGCGTTTCGTCTCGGCCAAGAGACTCAGATACATTTCAAGTAATTTCCAGCGAACTCGTCAAGCATCGCACTCTAAGTCCCGCTCGCCAAATCAAGATAGCATTCTGGCCCTCTTTCGCAGAAGGATTCCCAACCGCAAGTTCAAACGCAAATTTACGATTAAGACTGAATTGTCGAATACTTGTGAAATTACTTACTGGGCAGAGAAATACCACCAAGTATACGACTCCCAGGTCTGTTGTTGAAGAAGTGGGAAAGAACGTCATGCCTTTTCTCAGCTGAATGATTTGTAAAACTTTAATTGTAGCGATATCTTAGATATAAGAGTACGGACCTTTTTTACTGTAGGTAGTGTCGACGGTCGACATAATCGATAGATAGATCGGTCAAATATCGGCCAAGTGTCGGTCGAGTATCGGCTGATATATCGACCGATACTGGACCGATACTCGACCGGCAGTCGGCCGATATTCGACTGACATGTCGGCCGAGTGTCGGCCGCTACTCGGCCGACATATCGGCCGACATTGTGTCGACCGACACGATCACAGTAAACATGATCCAAAATTAAAATGACGCATCAGCTCACTGCTCATTTGGAACATGCACTTTTACGAGCATGGTGTTTGCTTACACTTATCTCAAGTGACCATTAATTAAATAGGACAATGAATTTTCTTCCTATGACTTATTTGCCCTCCAAAGAAATCATGATCTCACAGTAAAGCTGGTGTGTTTCCTATTAAGTAGAAGGTGGCCGGTACCGCGGCCCGGCTTCTAATAAAAACCCTGATATTGTAGGTGTTATTGCTGTAAATATTTGTTCAGATATTAATTAAAAACTAAATATGGACAATTGCTGCGTTTTTTTTGGCGGATCTGTTTGAGTTAAAGCACTGACAGAAAGGAAGGCGCAGATTTGATCTTCTGAAAACTCTACTCTTGCACTCGGTCGATCTCTTGCAAATATGTTTCACTATAAATGGACCTTATATTTAATTTACCATGAGCAATCAATTGGTTTTGATCATTTTCATTTCGTTTGTTTTGTTCTTTTTTTTTTTAAAAGAGAAAAAAGTCGTGAAAGTGGAATTTTGATACGAGACAAGGGAAAAATGATAAGGCTTCAGAAAAGAAGACAATATAGGGCAAAAGATACTATTTTTCAATTATAATTTATTGATCAAAGCTATCTCACAATTTTCCCCCTCATTATTATTCTTAAAACCGCAGTTTGCCAAGTGGCATTTCAAGTGTTAAACTTGATAAAGCAAAATAAAAGAAAACTTAAAGCATGTCATTTTTGCAATTGTACTCTAAGCTACATTTCTAAAAGATGCTCGACTTTCTGTAAATCTGTTGATTTTGATTTCATTCTTTGTGA